AGCCAAGATATAATTAGCTCAAGGCTTTTTCCTACGCCTCTCTCCCTTCCTGTGACCCCCAAATAAATGATCTTCTCTCCTTTTATTGGCTAAAAGAGAGAGTTAATGACCCCTTAACTATGGATTAAGTGGTCATTAAAGTAGGAGATAATTGAGAGTGGTTATTCTCTAAATAAATAACTCCTAAAATGGCTATCTGGCGAGCTTCATGAGCTTGGCGAAGTTCGCTGAAGATTTGGGCAGATATCAAGACGTGAGTGGGAGTTGTTGTGGACATGGATGAGTCTTCTTCACAAGTAGATCATCAACAATGTAGATCAAGTTCAACGGAGCAGATCATCAACAATGTAGCTCAATCATATGATTTTAGGCCGCATCTTTAGATGATTATCTAAGGCGTTACCTTAGGAACACTTCTCATATATATATATATATATATATATATATATATATATATATATGTGTATATAGATGTATATATGTGTATATATATGTATATATGTATATATGAATGAGAAAAATGGGTATGTTTGGTACCTAAGCCAAAATTTGGCTGGTATGAGGTGACATATTCCCACCCACCCATTCCAACGCTCACCCTCCCACAACCATGTTCGAATGAGCAGCGATTTTATTGAGTGAAAGGAGAAAGATCCACTTCCCACCAATACAAAAACATGCTTATACCAAACATACCCATTTATATATATATAGTAAATATAAATATATTATATATATATATTATATATATATATATAATATTATAATAATAAGCATATATCCACTCATTTAACATATAAAAAGTCACTTCATATCATGCAAGGATCCCTAGGAAACATCCAAGGGTTAAAAAGTTTGGTGGATGTCCACTTAAGTGGACACAAGTTTTCTTCTATATATAAAATAAGTATACTTGGTACCAAGCACAAAATTTATGCTTGGTAGGGAGGTGGCATAATCCCGTCCACTCATTCAAGTGGGGGACCATATTCACATGAGTTGAGGAGTGCATGGGGATATGCAACCATTTGAATGAGTTGAGGAAATTATGTCACCTTACTACCAAACATAACTTTTTTTTATTGGTACCAAACA